CTATTTGATAGCTTTAAGATTATGAATTTTGACGGTAATTTTGAAATAAATATAAATATTAGGGCTCTATTTGGATAATGTTAAATATATTGAATGATTTGATAGAAACTCCTTCAAATACCACCAAAAAAAGTTTTCCTTTTCTAGATAGTAGTTAATTGAATTTAATCTTTGAAACTACATTATATTTTTACTTGAAGTACGCAAAAATAATGTTCTCAGCAATTATTTCCTTCTCAATATGCATATTTCTGTCTCTCCCTAACACATTCTTCAGCTCATTAAAATAACAATCTCTACTCTTCCTCAACTTATCTTTTGATGCTGAGAGTCACAATATTGTGGGTACTCACATCTGCAAGGATGATTTCTCACCTACAAAAAAAGTTTGGATCTTTCTACTCAATATGCGCCAGTTTTTCGCATGAATTGGTCACAAAATCATCCAAAAACTATTACTGGTATATATTTACCTTCCGAAGTGTGAAAGATACTCTTCTAGGACTTCTTCTGATCACTTTATCCTTCACCATGTCAATCTATTATAACACAGTAGAAGAGACCTCTAACGGTTAGCAATTGGAAGAGAGTGCGGTATGAATCGCCCTGGTGAGAGTGGAAAGGAAGAAAAAACACAGAGTTTTCAGTGAAAAAGACTACGACCTTGTGATGTGGAATGTAGTGGTTCCAAGCATACCGTGCTTCTCCGGATAATAAGAGCATAGACCGAGGAGGAAGATATAAGGCTTTCTTGATGCAAGAGGAGTTACCCGACTTCTCTGCATCGGTGGTTGAGGCTATTTTCCATGTGGAAACAGAGTATTTTCTGAATTCCATAATACAAGGACCGGCTAACGAAAGGCTGAAAATGCAATCTTCAAACGCTGAATGCGTGTCAATGTGAGGCGATAAACCGACACCAGACGGGTACTCATTTACCTAAAAGTATTATTCACTAGAATTCCTCAGCTTTCGACGACGTTAAAAAACATTTTAACACAATCTAGTATAAAGAGTGTGATGATATACCGTTAATTGGTCCAAACTCAAGCTTTCTGGATCGTTGTCAAGGTTTGGAAACAAAGAGATTCTTTCGAGTATAGGAGAAACAAACGACGGAAGCTCCCCGAGCTTCTTTTTGGTATCAACATTTCTTGTCGCGTAACAAAACTCATATCCATAGTGTTGAACACGCCGTTTAGCAAGACCAATCCAAGGCCGAGTATCAACAGCTGCAAGCAATTGCTAAGAAAGACGACAACAACAATAAGTAAAAAGAAGAGGTAGAGAACAAAATCAAGCTCTTGCACACTATATACCTGTTCTTCTTCGACACTGACGAAATCAGGTACTAGGAAAAGCCCTGGTATATTCAACTCTGAATCAACCAAAGAAACTGGAACACAATCATTCACCTGCGTCTAAGCAAAAGATGCACAATACAAATTCAAGAGATCGCTCATTGCAAAACAAACACAAAGTTTCTGTCTTTGGTAACTGTTACCAATTTGAAATCTTACTCTCCAAATCAACATTACAACATAAAGATCAAAACTTTGAAACCAAATCAAAATTCGATTCACGTGTAATTGAAAATTGAATATGTTGATGTGATTGGAAGTACCTCGGAAGCTAATTGACGAACAGAATATCGAATATGCAAAGACCGACCATTGAGATCCGGACATGGCCGACCATTCAAAGCTTCTAAAGCAGATTTCGCCGAGAAACGATCCGCGAAAGAGACAATGACACGAACGCCGCTCTCGTCCGCCGCGTAAACGCCTTTCACTTCACCGAATACAGCGAACGCAGCCGCGATTGCGTCGTGTGACAGTCCAACCGCCGGACCACAATTCGCGACGTATAGATTGGATGAGTTCGGTTCTCCGGCATCGGAGGATGGTGACGATGTCGTCGGACGGACGAATCGCGGCTTAACCATTCTCGTGACCAGAGACGGTCTCTTTCTCCGACCAATTACCGGTGACTATGTCGGGGTTTTTGTTTTAACGGCGCCGTAACTTAGCCGTGTTTTTAAGAAACGACGCCGTTGAGCTGTATTAGGCCTTGTATTAGGCTTTAAGTAGGCCCATTTTATGGTTATGGGCTTTCCTCTAGCCGACGTCGTATTACATACAAATGGAAACTATATACAACGTATTTTCACATCCACCTTTTACCTAATCATACATATATACTTTTAGTTGGTGGGTGTTCAAATTCGAATTTCGGTTCGGTTTTGATTTTCTGGAATTTTTTGGTTTATATAAATGGTCTTCAAAATAAAATACAATCTACAATTTTTTGGTTTGATACATTTCAGTTTCGGTTTAGACTTCAAAGTTAACTTATGAACAAAATTTGCCTGTTTCATACTTTAAATGCATGTTAATAATACATTTACAACAACATATCTCAGGCTCCATAATTTAAAAACCCACTAAACAAAGGAGAAGCTTCAGGTGGCACGCATCGAAGAAAAGAAACCTTCAAACTCAAGGAGAAGCATCAGGAGGCACTTTACTCAAACACCAAACTCTACTGCTTCTGCTTGGAGTTGTACTCACCGAATTAGCTTTAGCATCATCCGCGGAAAAAAGTTCTAAACCATTCTCTGTCCCGCGGACTTTGTTCATGTCATCCGTGAGAGAATGCCTTGCACGGGACGAAAGCAAAGGCCTCTCGGGTGTTTTACAAAGGCCACGAGAGCTAGGGAAGCAACTTGGTGGTGCGGGAGAGTTTGGGTTACTTAAAGCATCTTCTTTCAAGATTTCTCCCATTCTTGAAAGAATACGGAACGCTAAATTCGCTAGTGTTCGGGAATATGCCTCAAGAACCGCATGACCAATGTCCTGAAAACAAAGAAGAAGAATTTGAATTCGAGATCGATTGTAATGCAGCTTACGAGTTAGTTCTGTTTATGTTTTACCTTGCCATACTGAATCTTTGTGGCATCAAGAAACGTCTGAGGGAGATTGGGGTATTTCGATTTTATCTGATTTCTAAGCGCTTCTGCTCGGTTCAAGACTGACTCATTTCTACCAGTTTCAGACAATGGGTCTTTAGCGAATGACCACGGTGATCTTACAGGGGATTTACCGCAGCTGGCTTGTTCTGTAATCCTTTCTTTCCATGCAAATATAGCAGTTTCTAACTTGTTAACTGTCTCGAGTGCAGTATGTTCAGTCCCCACCTTGAGATATCTAAGAATCTCATCGACTGAGATGGATTCCGCAGCCAACATCCTGTAAAGTTCATCACCGAGGCTGCTTTTTCCAGACTGTTACAACACAAGATTTTAGAGATAGTTGTTATCTACTACATTAGGATATAAAGAAAGAGAGCTTACTTTGGGTATTGCTTCCTTGATGATGGTTGCAACTGGCATTTCGAGAAGAATGTTTTCGTTTATGGATTTTGTAGCTTTGAAGACTTGATAAACAACTTTGCCCTTTTCAAGCAACTTCTTCCTTCCTGAGTTTGAGAGTCCTGGTTTGGGAACTTGTGGCGATGGAAGCCACCATCTCTTGCTCTCGTTTGTACTCTTGTTCGTCCCCTCAGCTCTACTGCCGATCTCAGAATACCAAAATTCTGTGTTCACCATAGAGTCCAGCGTCTCCTGTGGAGATTGCATTGAAAATTAAACCACATCCATAAAAAGAGTAGATCAAAGAAAAAGACAATCGCCTACGATTAGCATGGAGTCCAGTTTCTGAAGAGCTGGGAGATTCATATGAATGTCTGCACGAGCTTTCGGTGTCATTATCTGTTCAAACAAGAATCTCAGTTTAGTTTAGTTTCTTTCTCTGAAGAGTATCTTTTTTTTCTAATCAAACCGTAGCTGCGTACCTCAAGTGATCTTCCATTGGCATCATTTTGCTTAGAAGGGACTAACTCAATCATGTAGTTAGTTGGAGAAAGTAGCCAATCCATTTCCCTTCGCCACTTCTGTTTCTTCTCCTCACACAAGGGTTCTAATTTCCAGAGCTCGCCGAATACCGAGGCTGCAAATTCAAGAAATTCAGTAGACATCTCAGAACTAATCCTGACATTTTCTCAAACACAAGAACATAGAGATAAGTGCTAGGAAATATTCAGACATACTTGCAAGATGTGTTACAGCATTTGACAAAGCCAAAGCCACTTGGACACCCTTGCATCCACCGGTAACATCTTCACCGAGTAATAGCTTAGAAAATTTCTCCTTCATGGCTTCCACATCCAAATGGCAGTAGACATAGCCTGGTTTCTCCTTAGCATCAAAACGTTTGGACCTTCCAGATAAGCTCAAACCATCACAACTGTGTTCATCATTCTTCGACGGTAACCATTTTGAAGAAAAAGAACTCAAGGCATCTTTACTTGATGAACAGCTTGAAAATGCATCATCATCCAATGAATCAGTTAGGCATCCATCTCCTCGACTTGTTCTACTTTCTTCTTCATATGATTGATTGTTGATAATACAAGTTTCCAAACCGTCGTATGTAATCATTTCTGCAAATAAGGGACACACAATACCATCTTGGGAAGATCAGTAACAAGCTAAAATGATTAGTTTCACCTTTTATACTGTAGACTAAAGTGCAATAAGACACTTGAACTTGCACATAACAGAGAGAGAGAGAGACAAATAGAAGAAAATAAAAAAAACTTATCATTACATTAAGAGACCATTCAGATATTGACCATAAAGAAAAACCCCACCTCGCACATTTACTTCTTGCTTATGAAGACTATAGTTCTACTAC